CAGGGAAAACACGGGGGAGAAAAACCAAACCGTTATGTACAGATTGGTTTGAAATTCATTTGTCCCTTCCTCCTCATTTGTTTTTGCTGTTCCTCTTCCTCCTGGTAGCAGGCCGTGAATCTGAAGAACAGCTTCTGAGTAGTTGCACGGATTTCCCAGTGCATCCTTAGCCCTCCTCACTTACACACCCAACACACACACACCCAACACACACACACACACACACACACACACACACACACACACACACACACACACACACACACACACACACACACACACCCCTCTGCCGCCACAATGGATCAGATAAATGTGAAGCCGCTTCCCAGGTGCTGCTCCCTTGCCACAAAGGGATTTTCTCCGTGTGTGAGAGGGAGGATGATGGCATAAGGCTCTTTTTAATCTTAATTGAGAGCGACACACAAAGGGATGAGCGGAGGAGCCCGTTCCGACTGACAAAGGCATGGCAGCAAAGCTGCTGGTTTGCACATCAAACACAGACTTAGAGGCTCCCTGAGAAGCTTGGTGCGTGTCTGTAAACAAATCCAATCCTTTCTATCCAGTTTGGCTAATTCACTCTGCCAGGGCATGCAAAACAGGAGATGGGCGGAGGGGGAGGGAGGGGGACAGGAAGAGCATTACGGAGGGAGAGCCGGTGCGCCTGTCATGAGAAGATCTGATCCTCTTGGGTGTCCATAGGGGATATTCTGGCTTGGGTCTGTTAAATCTTCCAAAAGTCGATCTTTTAACAGCTTGCTTTTTTTCCCTTCGAAATACCTCCGACTGTTCTGAAGTCTGTTTGTATGTAAAGGTTTCATTGCTTAAATTGCACCCCCCTTGCCTTTGCTCTGAATGATGACATTCTGCAGCCACCTCCAATTGGCTGCCTGGTGTCATGACCTCATCAGGGTCAGCTGTGTCATATCATGACATCATCCTGGTGACTGTGTTTGCATAAGCTCTGGTGGGCATAACATGGGCCCCTTTAGGTGCATGCTGAGCTGCCTTTTCTCATCATTCCCAGCCATCATTCAGGAAGTGAAAGGAGCTTTATTAATTTACTCCCTGATGAGACAGGCTGGCTTGACATGTTGAGCCAGGTTGTGGAGAGTTTCTTAAACCCCACAAATTTTCTCACCCAGAGTACGAGGACAGGATGAGTGGGTTTTTTTGTTGTGGTTTTGCAGGGGGGGGGGTAGTATTTGGGATGGGTGAAACAGTATCTAAAGAGGCCTAGAAAGGTAGCTGTCAGATTTTAACCCCAAATAAATCCCTCTCTGAGTCCTTCCGCTGCCTCTCAGACAGAGCTGGTAGAGTTCCAGAAATACACCTTGTTGACACTTTCTGCACTTGTCTCTGGGAAGTCAACGCAAGCTGTAACGTGACCCTGTAACTTCTCCGTATTTCTTTTTCTTTGCCGTCCATCCACGGCTACGCATTTGCAAACACGTTGTTGCTTTTTCCGTGTGCGGATGTGGAGGGGTGGCGCTCGTGCAGTTGGGGCGCTGGATCGGGACAGGCTCCAGCTCAGCTCTCAGCCCCGAAACCTGTTGGAGAACTTTGCGCCCCTCGCTTTTCCCTCACTTTGAGGCTACTGCACAGGGTTGTTGTGAGAACGAAGGAGGGAAAAGGAGGAGGAAATGAAATGAGGAGCGGGTCCTAAGAGTGAGCAGGGGGTTAAAAAAAGTGTGTGTGTGTGTGTGTGTGTGTGTGTGTGTGTGTGTGTGTTTAAAACAAACTAGTGAAAGGTGGGGTGCTGAAAAATGGGAGGGGGGTGATCTACACTCCAGAGCCTCCCCTGAGCTATTAATTTGTTAGGTTCCCCTCATTCCCCACCCCCACCCCTTGGTGGCTCCTTGCCCCGATTAATGGTTTTCCTCTGCCAAAAACGACAGACTTGCCTGGGCAGCCCGGTTCGATGCCACCCTTTTCTCTCTGGGAAAGAGACGACGTACCCGTGGGTATTTAAACAAGACTTGTTAGCTTAAGGCTTCCGTCTCTGCAGCTCCCCCTCCCCCGGCTCCTCTCGCTCCCCTTTTTCTCCTCCTGGGACTCAAGTCCAGGGTTCCACGTGGTTTGCAGCTGCCCTCCAACGCAACACGGCCGGGATGTGGGTGGCCTGGTGGTTGCCCTCTCATTCCCTCCCCCCCGCCCAGTGCCCTGGAGTGACACGTCATGCAGAAGCAGGTTGGTGGAGTTGGGAAAGAGAAAGGGCAGGCATGGGCGGGCGCCCCTTTCGAGGAGCTCTGGGTGACTTCCTAACAGCAAGTTTTAAAAATGGATAAAAAGTTTGCTGCTCGGCCACCGTGCAAAGAGGTTCTCCCTTGCCTGTCCCCTTAGGAAGGCACTCGGGTGAGGGGGAAATGTTTTACGGACCCACCTTTTGGGAAGGCATCGGGCCAAGGGTAGGGGTGGGGTGGGGGTCTCCAAAAACCAGGAGACATCCTTCCATGCTGGCCCTGCCCCAGACTGTGACCCCCCTTTCCCCAAGATCTGCTTCCTCCGAAGACTGAGGGTGAACCTCCACTCCTCATACCCACCGAGTTTGCCCTGTGAGGCCAATAACTGAGGTCCAGTGTTTACTTTTCTGTATACGTTGCCATTATTTTCCTCTCCTTTTGTTCATTCCCTAGCCACTTTTTTTTTGCCTCTGGGTGTGCATTCATGTGTGTGTGTGTGTGTGTGTGTGTGTGTGTGTGTGTTTTTCTCTTTGCTCTAACACCGCCCCCCCCAATCTTCTTTTGGGCAGCCACCCCTCGTCCTCTCTTAGAGCTACTTGGGAAGGAGACAATTTGGAGGCTTTCCGCTCCGCGCTTGGCCCGCGGAGAGACTTTCCCCCCCAAGCCAATCAATGGCAGCCTTTTCGGCCCCCGGTGGGGCTTGGCAAACACGAGATCAATAAGTTATTAGCACCATTCTGTCAGCTGTAATGTGGAGATTGATCAGGGCTGGGCCTCCTGCACACCCGCTTGGCACTTCCCCAGCCTGATAAAGATGACAGATTAAGGGAATAAGAAAAAGGAATTAAGGAGGCTGGCTGTCAAAGCTTGTCACGGCGGCCCCCATGGGGGCTGTGAGCGAGCGCGGTTGGACGTTTACATGACGCCGAGGGAGGGCACGGCTCCTTTTGGCAGCTCCCGGTGGACTGGCTCTCCTCCGAGGAGGGCGAAAGGCCTTGACAGAATGGAAGGGTTGCAAGCAACCACCCTGGGACCGCCAGGCCCGGCATCTGGAGAGGCATTCATCCGTCCGCGTAGGTCTCCCTGCAGATGGAAGTGGATAGTGGACCCAAGGTGACACAGGTAGGACCTGGTGTGAGACACAGATGGGGAGCCCTGGGCCCAGATCTCATTTTCCTGCTGGGTCCTTACGTTTTCCCTTTGTGGTTCCTCACTAGGCTATCCCTGCTTTGAGGGTTTCCCAGGTTTTCACACCGTCTTAACGATGATATAATTTACTAATTGTGGCTAACTTTGGTGGATTAATTGTGTATTTTTTAAAGCTGTTCATAATTCTAAAAGTGATCTGCAAGCAATGTGTATCATTGCAACTAAACATACGGTACAACGTAGAGTAAAAGTGACAGACACGGAGCAGGATTTAACCATTTGATACCCACACATAATGGTGCTAGGGAGAAATCCATCAATCCAGATGTAGGATATATGTGTACAGCTTGCAAGTTGAGCTTAGGTCTCTCCCTTCGTTTCAATGCAGTGGCTCAGCTTGTTTTCCATACTATGAATTTTTACCACATCTTTATGACCCATCGCATGCTGTAAAAATATATCTGACAGGGCATGTCTGTGCGCTTCTCCTCATAAATGGCCTTATTATAGGAAAGTGTCTGATGTTGTCTACCAATTTCTGCCTTTGCCCTGTCTGTCTCTTTGAAGTAAGTTGGGAAGAGCCATCCTGAAGCAGTTTGCATCATTAAGCCGAGCCTTAAGATGGCTCTAACAGAGGAGGCCCAGAAACTTGTTGTTGTTTAGTCGTTAAGTCGTGTCCGACTCTTCGTGACCCCATGGACCAGAGCACGCCAGGCCCTCCTGTCTTCCTCTGCCTCCCAGAGTTGGGTCAAATTCATGTTGGCAGCTTCAATGACACTGTCCAACCATCTCGTCATCCTCTGTCGTTCCCTTCTTCTCTTGCCCTCACACTTTCCCAACATCAGGCTCTATTCCAGGGAGTCTTCTCTTCTCATGAGATGGCCAAAGGATTGAAACCTCAGCTTCAGGATCTGTCCTTCCCTTGAGCATTCAGGGTTGATGTCCTTCAGAACCGATAGGTTTGTTCTCCTTGCAGTCCAAGGAGAACAAACCTATTAGCCAAAACTCTATTAGCCATTTTCGTTCACTGATGCCCAGGATGTCAGTGTTTATTCTTGCCATCTCCTGTTTGACCACATCCAGTTTACTAAGGTTCATAGATCTTACATAGATTGAAATTCATACATGCTTTTAAATGCAGTTTTTCTGTACATCTATTTGTATGCTCTATTCCGTCTATTCAACTGAACAAGGACCTGTGGAGCCCATTCTGCATCCTGAGATTTCACACGGACTAGAAGCTTGGCTTTCATTTTGGGGAAAAAAGAGTGGGAATTTCCAGGAAACAGAATTCTTTGGCCGAGCTTTTCTTTCTGGCGCATCAGCACACGTACAGAGCATATGTACAAATGGCGCTGTTTGTTTTGTACAGTGGGTGGTCCACCCCCTTTTTCTTGAGGGAGGAGGCTATTTTTACACACTTTTTTGATGGACGAGAATTAGACTTGTATGAGATGACAGCCTGCTCCATCTCCCTTGCCTCCTTATTCAGCCACGTAGGGCTTATTTTTGTTTGTTTGTTTGCTGCTTTGCTCCAAGTTCCCTCCCCAGTATTATTAGTAGAAGATATTGATTTTCTTTTTTAAATCTGCACAGGAGGAGAAGGCAAAGTAGGAGAGAGAGAAAGAAAGGGGGAAAGGGGGAGGGCGTTGAAGTTGCTGGAACTGCTTATTAGAGATGTTGCATTGGGCTTGACTAGACAGCAGAGATACAGAGGCAAAGTCAACCCAGGCTAGAGGGAAGAGGGTTTTCTTGATCACCAGGCGCTGCAGGGAGAGGGGAGGGGGGAAAGGAGAAAGATCCAGAGGTTGTGAAGGAACATGGAGAAACAGGTGGTGTCTATGTGTGTTTCTCTCTCTCTCTCTCTCTCTCTCTCTCTCTCTCTCTCTCTCTCTGTGTGTGTGTGTGTGTGTGTGAAGTGATCCTTTTTTCCTACTGCCTTTCCTGCTCTCCCCACCACCAGCCACCAAGACCTCAGCTGTTTTGGATCAGGGCCTGAAAAGTGAGGTGGGAAGGGGTGGGTGTTGATGCAAAGAGCAGGTGATCCAGTGATGCAGTTAAGCAAGGAAATGGACGAGATCTCCCAAATTTATGGCTGGAAACAGTTGATCGGCCCACTTATAGGACCCCCTTCTCTGTGTGCGAACATGCATGCAGGAGGCCCCCAGCATCAAAAGTTGAAGGTGGAAACCTGTCTCTTTATCTAATTCTCTTTCTTTTCATCCTCCTCCCCTCGCCCCCACCGCCACCCCACCCCTATTTTTTCCAGATGAAGTTTTAGGCAAAAGACGAGCCTGCTCACCAAACAGCAACAGTGACTGTCCCCTTGAAAGCAAGAAATCCCGAAGTGAGTCCCCAAAAGGTAGGAGATTTTTCCTTCCTTCTTTCCTTTATGTTGGGGAAAGTGGGCAGGGTGAGGTGAACCTGAAGTCTTGAGGCTTTGTTCATCCCAAGAATGAGGATTCCTCAGAGTAATTCGCTCTTTCTCAGATCATTAGGTTATGCGAGGGATTCCTTAATTAAAATTAATTTATGCTGATCTTTTCATCCCCGTTCGTAACATCTGAGCAAGTTTCTATTTTTAATAGCCAGTGGGAGCATGATTTTATTATGTATCGTCGGTTCTTTTCATTGCTGAAGCTTTAAGGTTAGCAGAAAAGCTCTGGGCTCCGTTCCCTTGGCTTTCTCTCCCTTGCCATTTGGAGCCACCTTGGATCCGTCCAGGGTAAAAATATTTGAAACCCATAAATATGAAGGTGAAACATTTTCTTTAAACAAGCAAGCAAGCAAGCAAGCAAGCAAGCAAGCAAGCAAGCAAGCAAACTCTGCTGGACTTCAGAGACCTATTGCAGTGATACCCAGGGACATGGGCCTGCATAGTTGCCAGACCAAAGGGGGGGGCTTTGAAGATAGCAGTGGAGTTGGGTAACGGGGGGGGAAACACCACCATGGGTGAACCATGGGTGATGAGGGGGCAGAAGGACTCCCCCTACCCCGCCCGGTTTGTGTTGAGCGACACCTGGCAGGAGGAGGACGGAGTCGATCCGCTCTGGAAGGAGACCAGGGCAGGTTGGGAAAAAATGGGAGATGGTTGCCCCCCCCCCCAGCAGCAGCCTGGGTTCTCTGTTCCTCAGAGGTTTCGTTGTTTAAAGTGGAAACAAATTAGGAATCGATTGCACTCAGATTGATTAGGATTGCTTAGCCTGCATTCTGATTGCATGATGGCCCGTGTCATTAAAAAAAAGAAGAAGTCTTGAGCTTGTTGTGGCTGTGAGGAGAGTGGATGGAGTGAAGCGGAGGCCTCTTGGTCAACTCCCTCTGTCCTGCCTGCCTGAGACTCTCCGCTGGCTTAGAAACCCTGGACTGCTGGTGGGTAAGTAGGTGTTTGTTCAGGAGATGGTAGCCAGACGCGCTGCAACTCAGGGGTGGCCGAGGGGAGAGTGAAGCGTGTTTCCCTCGCCCATCGAACTTGGTGTATCTCCCCTTTAGCCTCTTGGTCGGTTTCTCCCTGCTAGACCCTCTGGAAGATTGGGGTTTTTTTTAGGACTCCTTGCGCACAACCCCAGGGGCTAGCAACTTCATTTGTTTGTTTATAAAACAAAATCCAGCAGAGAATGTTGGCTTGTCCTGCTTGGAACCCGGGTTCCTCGGATAAATTCCCATCCACGGGGCCTGAAATCAGGGTCCTTTCCTCGTCCTCTCTCTGTTTCCTGCACTGTTTCTCTCTCCTCCTCGAAACTGCAATTAGACAGACATCAATATTCCAATAGGGATCCAGGTGGGATGATGAAATGCATTTTGCTACCCAGGGAGACGCCAGCTTGTCCGTGGGGACTGAAGTGGCCTTAGCCGGTCAAAATGCTGCTGCGCTGATCTTCTAGCCACTCTCAGCACCCGTCTGTGGGGTGTCTCTGATTGCTGCCCCCCCTCTCCCTTTAGTCTTTCTTCTCCTCCCTGCCTCTCTCTCTCTCTCTCTCTCTCTCTCTCTCTCTCTGTGTGTGTGTGTGTCTTATTTGACATCCTCTGAAAAATTAATCAAGGTGATAGCCTTTTAATCCATCTCTTGGAGAAGGCAGCTAAGCTTTAATCAGGCTTTCCTGAGACCTGGCTATCTATTGCTTTTGGATCAATGCTGCTTATTCCAGACACCAAAGAAGGTCTCCCTTTCCTTTC